ACATGGGAAAGTGTGAGGTCATGCACTTTGGTAAGAAGAATAGAAGCATGGACTATTTTCTAAATGGGGAGAAAATTCAGAAGTCTGAAGTGCAAAGAGACTTGGGAGTTCTAATCCAGGATTCTCTCAAAGTAAACTTGCAGGAGAGTCAGTAGTCAGGAAGGCAAATGCAATGTTGGCATTTATTTTGAGAGGACTTGAATATAAAAGCAGGGATGTACTACTGAGGCTGTATAAGGCTCTGGTCAGGCCACATTTTGAGTATTGTATGCAAGTTTTGGGCCCCATATCTCAGGAAGGATGTACTGGCCCTGGAGCAGGTTCAGAGGAGGTTCATGAGAATGGTCCCAGGAATGAAAAGCTTAACATATGAGGAATGTTTGAGGACTCTGGGACTATATTCATTGGAGTTTAGAAGGATGAGGGAGGATCTAATTGAAACTTACAGAATACTGAATGGCCTGGACAGAGTGGATGTTGGGAAGATACTTCCGTTGGTAGGAGAGACTAGAACCCGAGGGCACAGCCGTAAAGTAAAGGGAAGACCTTTTAGAATGGAGACAAGGAGAAACTTCTTCAGCCAGAGAGTGATGAAATCTATAGAATTCACTGCCACAGAAGGCTGTGGTGGCCAGGTCATTGAGTACATTTAAGACTGAGATAGATAGGTTCTTGATTATCAAGGGTTATGGGGAGAAAGCGGGAGAATGGGGTTGAGGAACTTATCAGCCATGATTGAATGGCGGAGCAGACTCAATGGGCTGAATGGCCTAATTTCTGCTCCTATGTCTTATGGTCTTACTTTGGAAGGCTCGTAACTGAATGCAAGAATGATGCAATTATCTAGTTTGTAATGAGAATTGAAATATATTATTTTTGTGGGATAAGAACAGGCCAGAAAAAATGTTTGTGGATCATAGATTGCAGATAGAAGCTTTGTTTGGGGACTGTGGACTATGTCTTTGGTAATCTGGAAGGAAGATCTTTGAAGAGAGTGAAGTCACTGACTGTCTTGGAAACACCTGATGTTTGATGGTGGGTTATTGCCCAGGAAAGTGAGGATGTGGTGTCAGAGAACTGACTTTCAGCCTCGTCCATATCGAAATTGATTTGCCAAATAGGACCAGCACTCCCACTTTCAGCAGTTTTAATGACATTGCAGATGTATTGGAGAGAACAAATCATTGCAAATTCTGAAGGAGTGGGTGAGAATGAGTGAGAAATAGAGAAATTGAGTTGGCTAGTGTCAGGGCAACAGTTTTCTGTGACAACATCCAGAAGCAGGTAAGAGGCCAGAGAAAGGTGTCCAGGTGGAACAACAGTTCAAGATGGGAGGGAGGTTGCACATAGAAACGTAGTAGCAGGAGGAGGCCATTCGGCCTTCGAGCCTGCTCCCCCATTCTTCATCACGATCATTGCTGATAGTCCAACTCAGTAGCCTAATCCTGCTTTCTCCCCATAACCTTTGATCCCATTCACCCCAAATGCTATATCTAGCTGCCTCTTGAATACGTTCACTGTTTTGGCATCAACTACTTTCTGTGGTAATGAATTCCACAGGCACACCACTGTTTGGGTGAAGAGCTGTTTGCTCATCTCCGTCTTAAATCGTCTATCCCGAATCCTCAGACTGTGACCCCTGGTTCTGGACACATCCATCACTGGGGTCTTCCTCCCTGCATCTACCCTGTCTAGTCCTATTAGAATTTTATAAGTCTTTATGAGATTTCCCCCCAATCCCCCTCATTCGTCTGAACTCTAGCAAAAACGATCCTAGCCTAGTCAATTTCTCCTTATACATCAGTCCCGCCATCCTTGGAATCAGCCTGGTAAACCTTTGCTGCACTGTCTCGAGAGCAAGAGCATCCTTCCTCACAAAAGAAGACCAAAACTGCATGTAGTATTCTAGCTGTGGCCTCACCAAGGCCCTGTATAACTGCAACAACACATCCCTGCTCCTGTACTTGAAACCTCTTGCAATGAAGGCCACCATACCATTTGCCTTCTTTACTGCCTGCTGTACCTGCGTGCTTACCTTCAGCGACCAGTGCACAAGGACACCCAGGTCCCGCTGCACATTCCCCTCTCCCAATTTACAGCCATTCAGATAGTAATCTACCTTCTTGTTTTTACTTCCAAAGTGAATAACCTCACATTTATCCAAATTATACTGCATCTGCCGTTGATTTGCCCACTCACGCAACCTGTCCAGATCATGCTGAAGGATCTCTGCATCCTCATCACAGTTTACCCTCTCACCCAACTTAGTATCATCTGCAAACTTTGGGATGTTACATTTTGTTCCCTCCTCCACATCATCATTAATATATATTGTGAATAACTGGGGTCCCAGTGCCGGTCCCTGTGGCACCCCACTAGTTACTACCTGCCAATTTGAAAAGGACCCATTAATTCCTACCCTTTGTTTGCTCTCTGCCAGCCAGTTTTCTGTCCATCTCAATACACTTCCCCCAATCCCACGTGTTTTAATCTTGTACAATAATCTCTTATGCGGGACTTTGTGAAATGCTTTCTGAAAGTCCAAATATAGCACATCGACTGGCTGTCCCTTGTCAACTCTACTAGTTACATCTTCATAAAATTCCAACAGATTTGTCAAGCATGATTTCCCCTTCAGAAATCCATGCTCACTGTGTGCCTAATCCTGCCACTGCTTTCTAAATGCTCCGCCATAAAGTCCTTGATAATGGGTTCAAGAATTTTCCTCACTCCCAGTTTGCTGTGCGTTGGTGGGTGGTAAGACCCCTTGCTAAAGAAGTGATGTTGAAGTATATATGGTGGTAGAAGAGCTCGGTATCGTACTACTGAGCTCCAACACCATTTTACAAGGTGTGTATAGAGATGAAACTGTGGCTTCTGCTGAGAGCCCATTGTTTGGCTACAGAAGCATTGGTCAGAAGGGATTGTAAAAAAGTGGCAAGGGGAGAGATTGGGAGTAGGGATGGGGACAAATTAAAGTTAAAAGGAAGAATGATTTGGTACAACATGGTATCCAAGTGCTGCTTAAACCTGTTATCCTTGATACATGGAAGGAAAAAGTGCAAAGCATGATATTATCTGCACCCAGTGTTGAGATATAGAGATGGTCCTGCTGGGGAGAGAGCTCCAGAGCTTGTATGTGGTGGCGTTAAGTGTTGTTCAAGAACGGTGGTGCAGTGGAAAAGTCATTGGATGAGTAATCCAGATCCCCAGGTTAATATGCTGAGGACAGAGTTTGGATTCCCGCCATGGCAGGCGGTGAAATTGAATTTAAAAAGAAAAGAATCCAGAATTAAACTCCATCTGCCACTCCTCAATCCATCAGCCCATCTGATCAAGATCCTGTTGTACTCTGAAGTAACCTTCTTCACTGTCCAGTACACCTCCAATTTTGGTGTTATTTGCAAACATACTAACCGTACTTCCTCTGTTCACATCCAAATCAATTATATAAGTGATGAAAAGAAGTGGACCGAGCACTGACCTTTGTGGCACACCACTGGTCACAGGCGTTCAGTCTGAAAAGCAACCCTCCACCCCCCACCCCCAACCCCGTCTTCTACCTTTGAGCCTGTTCTGTGTCCAAATGGCTAGTTCTACCTGTATTGCATGTGATCTAACCTTGCTAACCGGTCTACAATGAGGAAGAGATAGTAAGAACAGGATCTTCCTTTGCAGGAACAGCACCTCATATTTTGCTTGTGAACCCTGCAGCCCAATGGTATCAATGTGGACTTCACAAACTTCAAAATCTCCCCTCCCCTAACCGCATCCCAAAACCAGCCCAGCTCGTCCCTGCCTCCCTAACCTGCCCTCTCACCTATTCACTCCTCCCACCTCAAGCCCCACCCCCATCTCCTACCTACTAGCCTCATCCTGCCTCCTTGACCTGCCCGTCCTCCCTGGACCGACCTATCCCCTCCCTAACTCCCCACCTACACTCACCTTTACTGGCTCCAACCCCGCCTCTTTGACCTGTCTGTCTCCTCTCCACCTATCTTCTCCTTTATCCATCTTCTATCCACCTCCCTCTCTCTCCCTATTTATTTCAGAATCCCCTTTCCCTCCCCCATTTCTGATAAAGGATCTAGACCCGAAACGTCAGCTTTCCTGCTCCTGTGATGCTGCTTGGCCTGCTGTGTTCATCCAGCTCTACACCTTGTTATCTCATATACCATGAGGAACCTTGTCGAATGCCTTACTGAAGTCCATATAGATCACATCCACCGCACTGCCCTCATTCATCCTCTTACTTCTTCAAAAAGCTGAATCAAGTTAGTTTGATACGATACACAGATCCATGTTGACTATCTCTAATCAGTCCTTGCCTTTCCAAATGCATGTAAATCCTGTCCCTCAGGACTCACTCCAACAACTTGCCCTCCACCGATGTCAGGCTCATTGGTCTATAGTTTCCCAGCTTTTCCTTAACATCTTTCTTAAATAGTGGCACCATGTTAGCCAACCTCCATTCTTCCGGCACCCCACCTGTGACTATCGATGATATAAATATTTCAGCAAGGGGCCCAGCAATCGCTCTGTGTAATCTGTGCCCCATTTTATTGAACGGCAACTATTGGTGATGATTCCGCTGTCATTTTCTTGATAAATCTTTTGTTATTTCTATGTCTTTTCACCTTGCACCATTGTACCATTCTTCATTTCATCTCACCTACCTCTCACTATGTTATAGATCCTCCTTTATGTTCTTGATGCATGTAAAATGGAAAAAAAAAGTCAGTTTCGCTGGGAAAGTAGTCCATCGCTGAAAGCATGGTTTGTAGGCTTACAGCCAGCGAATAACTGGTTTTGAATCCTTTGTCAGAATTAAGTAAATAGAGCATTAGCACAACTGTGTTGGCCTTTGCATGATGTACTATTCAATTTTTCTTGACATATAAATGCCTGTTTTTAGCAAAAATGTGAGCTTGGACAACAGTAGATAAAAATCTTAATTCTTGTATTACAGTCTCACTTGAAAGCATGGACGAAGATAGCCTCATTAAAAGACGGTTTATAACTGAAGCTGAATTAGATGAAAGACGCAAACAAAGACAGGAAGAGTGGGAAAAGGTTCGTAAACCTGAAGATCCAGAAGGTACAGTACTGTGTCTGAACAATGCTTGTGAACTGTATCTTGTGGAAACCAAACTGAGTTTGTGGTGTGACATCCATCCTTTTACGTGGAGCTTAAACAGTTGTATTTAGTGAAGGAGAGAACCCTTTTGCTTTGGTCAACAAGTGGGAATGTTATGGTCTTGTGGTGGATCAGGAACTCCAACCCACTGTTTGGTCTGGTCCTGAAACAAAGCAGCAATCATTGGAACTCATTGGCAGTTCAGAGATGAAATTGATTTATCCTACAGGGAAAGGTGGGAAGTATGATGAAAGACTGGTGAATGTGTGTAGTGTAGTGGCCATCATTAAGGAGAAGGAACTGGGGAATCTGAAAGGTCTGAAGGTGGATAAATTCCCTGGTCTAGATGAACTATATATCAGCGTTTTGAAGGAGATAGGCTGAGGAAATTGTAGAGGCATTGGTGGTGACCCTTCAGGAATCCCTGGGGTCAGGTAAGTTCCCACAGGACTGGGAAATGGTTGATTTAAGTCTTGTCTAAGAAGGAAGGAAGGCAGGCAGAAGACCGGAAATTATAGGCCAGTTAGCCTGACCTTGGTCATCGGTAAGATTTTAGAGTCCATTATTAAGGATAAGATTGTGGAGTACTTGAAAGTGCATGATAACAGCACAGCTTTGTCAAGGGGTTGGGGTCATGCTTGACAAATTTGTTAGAATTCTTTGAGGAGGTAAAGAGCAAGTTAGACAAAGGAGAGCCGGTGGACGTGATCCATTTGGATTTCTGGAAGGCCTTTGACGAGGCGTTGCACAGGAGGCTGCAAAATAAGACAAGACTTCATGGTGTTAGGGGCAAGGTACTGCCATGGATAGAGGATTGACTGAGTGGCAGATAGCAGAAAGTGGAGATGAGGGGGTCTTTTTCTGGATGGTAGCCAGTGACTAGTGGAGGTATACAGAAGTCTGTGTTGGGACCACAATTATTTACATTATATATTAACAATCTGGATGAAGGAACTGAGGGCATTGATGCAGATGACACAAAGATAGGTGGGGGTGGTTGAGGCAGGTACTATTGAGGAAGCAGAGAGATTGTACAAGGATTTGGATAGACTAGGAAAATGGGCACATTGTGACAGATGGATTACAATGTGGGAAAGTGTGAGGTTATGCCTTCTGGTAAAAAGAAGAATAGAGGAATAGACTATTTTCTAAACAGAGAAAAGCTTCAGAAACATGAAACACAAGTCCAAGTTCAAGATTCTCTTAAGGTTCACATGCAGGTTCAGCCGGCAGTTGGAAAGCAAATTCAATGTTAGCAGTCATTTCAAGTGGGCTAGAATACAAGAGCAGGGATGTACTGCTAAGGCTGTAAATTGCTGTGGTCAGACCACATATGGAATATTATGAGTACTTTTGGACCCCTCACCTAACAAAGGATGTGCTGGCCTTGGTGGGGGTCCAGAGGAGGTTTACAAGAATGATCCAAAGGATGAAGAGCTTGTCATGTGAGGACCAGTTGAGGACTTTGGGTCTGTACTCGATGGAGTTTAGAAGGATGAGGGGGGGATTTGATTGAAACTTACAGAATACTGAGGGGATCTGATTGAAACTTACAGAATACAGAGAGTCATGGATAGACTGGACATGGAGAAGATGTTTCCACTAGTCGGAGAGACTAGGACCTGAGCTCGCACTTTCAGAGTGAAGGCACAGCCCTTTAGAATGAGATGAGGAAGAATTTTTTCAGCCAGAGGATAGTTAAACCATGGGACTCATTGCCATAGTGGGCTGTGGAAGCCAAGTCATAGAGTGTATTTAAATTAGATAGGTTCTTGATTGGTAAGGGGATCAAAGGTCATGGGTAGAAGGTGGGAGAATAGGGTTGAGAAACATGTCAGCCATGATTGAATGGTGGAGCAGACTTGATGAGTCGAATGGCCTGATTCTGCTTCTATATCTTATTGTTTTCTGATCTTACTCACAAAAGATCTTCTAATCTTCCTGACAATGCGAGATGTTCACTGTTGGGCTCAAAGCAGTTCAAACTGAAATGTAGTGGGAATGCATTTTAGTCTTTAGATTTAGGTTACCCATGTCTAGCTAAATTATTTGCATTATTTCTTTGGAGTTTGTGAGGGTGGAGGGAGTCCTAGTCGTGATTTTCCTCTGACACAAAGTCTGCACTTCAAACCAAGACCCAAAGATTTTGAACTCTGGTAAAAAGTCCAGCTTGGGACATTGCTTCTAGACAAATCACGTATTTCTCACTTACTGTGGCTAATTATTTTCATCACTGTCTGTGTCCCCCAGTGCTTGGAGATGTCAGAAGTTCCATCTGAATGCCATCGGGGTACACTTGCCACTAGTTTCATTGTCCTCTCAGACCAGTAGGCCTTTGTTATTTAACAGAGCTGTTTACAACCTTGGTGTCATGTGTGATGTCATGTCGAACTCTCAAATCACAATGTGATTTGTTCATCATGAAGTTAACCTGGATCCTTCTCCTTAATGTGATCCAGCTGACTACTTTAAAAAATTGTCAAAGAAAATTGGCATGACACTGATTGGAGTCAGCTTGAAAAGTGAATTCTGTCTGAAACCATGCAGTAACTCAGGTAGGTACTTGGGCTGATTTCGCTACATGTTGAGTACAGTCCGTACCTTATTTTAAAAATAAACTTAGAAACCAACTGAAAGGGTTGTTTTCTGATCGATGCAATTGTACAAACATACATAAAGCAAATGCTTTGCTCCTTTAGAAACAAAAGCCATTAAATTGCAGACTTGGCAGAGTATTGGTTAATTTTGTACAGTCTGTGTGTAATCTCATGGACCTAAATTTGAGTCACAATCTTCAAGATGGGGTTTAGGTGGGACTAATAGTTGGCCATGACACTGTAATTATAGCCATTATGTATGTTGAAGCCTTCATGCAACATTGCAGAAAAATGTGATAAATCCAAGCAACACAGTAAAACATCTGACCAATGAGGGAGGACAGTGTCTGGTGAGAAAGAAACCAACTTAAATAGAAACAAAATACACAAGAATAAAGTTGAAATGAATTTTGAACCTGAAAAAGCCAAAATTTCAAGTGGGTCTCTTCATCAAATGTCTTCTTTTCAAGTGTATTTTTGGATGCGATGCATTTTTAACACCTTCCATGTTAATTTGGATTTGTATCCTTTCTTTAAAGACACAAGTAATCAATTTTTTAAACTGCATCGCTACAATTTTAAAAGACTTGTCTAATATTCGTTCTGACTTTCAGTATTTAATTATATTGCACTTGAAACACCAAAGAAAGGTATAACTGAAAATGTGGTGACATAGCTTTACCATTTTAACTTCCGAAGGCTTAGAGTTTAAGCAAATACTTGTGATTTTAATCTTTAATTTTCCCCAGCCGTTTGGTGCTAGCTGATGTTCATGTATCCTGATGGCTAGTTTCTGTCTTTCCGATGTAATGTTTGTGGCAGTTGTTGCATGGTATTTTGTAAACCATGTTGGTTCTGCATGTTGTGGGAATGGGGTCTTTAATCCTTGTAAGTGTTTGTCGTAGAGTGGCTCTGGGCTTGTGGGCCACCATGATTCCTAGTGGTCTTGGGAATCTTGTTGTCAGTTCCGATATGTTCTTGATGTAGGGCAGTGTGGCCAGTGTGTTAGGGCGTACTGTGTCCTCCTGTTGTCTGTTTAGTAGGCATCTGTGGAAGTTGCGGGGATACCCATTTATCGCAATGATTTTGTATAGGTTCTCTTCCTCTTTCTTGTGTAGTTCCGGGGTGTTGTAGTGTGTCCTGGCCTGTTTAAATAATGTCCTATTTAAATAATGTCCTAATGCAGCTTTGTTTGTGGGTGTTGGGATGGTTACTGTAGAAGTTGAGGATTTGATCTGAATGGGTTGCTTTTCTGTATACCGAGCTTTGGAATTCCCCGTTGGTCATATGCTCAACTTTAACATCCAGAAACAGAAGTTGATTGTTGATTTCTTCTTCCCTTGTGAAGTTAATTCCCACAAATATGCTGTTGATGAGGTGGTGGTTCTCTTCTAAACGGGCCAGGACACACTGCAACACCTTGCATGGTGATGAAACGTCTGAACGAGAACAAGCTAGCTCGGTGGGCAAGTCAACAACCTCATCCACAACTCGAGCTTCAGATCTTTGGCAAAACTTTGAACCACACTCTGTGTAAAACGATTGGCCCTCATGGCTTTTTAAAATCTTTCTCCTCTCACCTTAAAAACTGGCCCCTACTCGGGTAAGGATTTCCAATCAGAAATCCATGACACACTGTTAAACGTGAGACATTTTCCAATCTCCAGGATATGAGCTCAAAAACTTGAGAACAGCCAGAGTTGGCTTTTAGTCTTGGCTTGCAGGAAAGGTACATTCTGTTGTCTGGCTCCAGTCCCAATTCCATTCAGATTGCAGATGAATTAGCAAGCTCAACAGAATTCATTGCTGTGCTCAGTAAATAGTAGAACAGACTGTTAGCTAATGTACCAAATTATCACATTTAAGGGGTCGATCCAAATTTGTCATTTACTGACAGCATTATTAAAAACCTACACTTCATGGATTCTCAGCCTGCAACTGTTGGATTGCTTTGACATTCGATTGTACGTCACAGGGAGAGCTCTTTCTCTCTGACCCTCTCCGCTGCAAGCTGGAAAGGTGTTTCAGTTGGTGGGCAGGCCACTATGTAAAGGACACAGATTTAAGGTAACAGAGTATGTGTTCCTAAAGCTAAAGATGGCCACTGTAGCTGGTACATGTCCTAAGGGCCATTTGTACATCAGTTGGCTGCAACAGGACCTCTGTTGCTACTATGTTTTGACATCGGTATGCACAGATAGGTTAGCTCTGTGGGAGATGTGCTTTAGTGTGTAACTATTTCAAAGAGCCACACAGGTTCTGCGCTGTATGAATCTAAGTCCTAGCTGAAACTTCAATTGAGTTCTACAGTGCTACAAAAACCCTGTGCCCCTGTATTTCTGGCCTTTTGTGCATTCCTAACCCCCTTCGGCTTCACATTTGGTGACTTTGCCTTAACCATAACTTCAAGTTGTTGCTGTGGAATGTTTCCCATGAGTGTAAGAGACACTGGGACTAGATTCAGACCAGGTACTTCCTCTTTGAGAAACCTAAAATATCTTATAATGCTAAAAATCCTGGAATTTTAAAATCTTGTTGGGGGAATGTGACTCCAGACTTAAACTTTAGTTTGTAGGACAGAAAAGTCGTTCGATTGTAGTTTTGACCTGGTTTTCAGTTACTCTTTAGTGAATAGGGTTCAACTTTTCGAGTTTTTTTTTTGCAGTGAAAATAATGTATAAAAAATGAAAATTCATGTACCAAGAATTCAATGTTGCTGTCATTCGTGAAGATTGCAATAACACACCCTATGGAAGTGCAGACTGTGACTGACAGCAATGTCCTGGATTCCCATGTTTAACTGACCAGAAGTTGGTCAGTTTTACATTGTAATAATGCTGACACTGATAGTTGTACCGTCATTACAATTGCAAATTTTGGGCTATTAAATATTATCCAGAACTTGAGCTCAGATGGATTTGTGATTCACTTTATAAACATGTTTTACTTACAGTTTCTACATGTCTATGGTACTGACCTGAGAAAAAAAGACTTCTAAATATATTTTTTAGCTTTAAATCAACCTTAACTCTGTTACACAATATAAACCAGTCTCCGTAGATTGACTGTTTGTATATAATCAGAACAGAACTGATTTTTGCCTTTAGGGCAGTAGCTTTGATTCAGAAATTGCAAGCTGTTACAAAATTGTTGCTGATTTAACTCACCATCTTTTTTACATGCTTTTTGACGCTTACTTTATCATTTTAAAAGCATTTATAGTTTGGATGTCTGATTGAGCTGCATTGTTAGTGATTTACTTAGCACTATCAATCTGTTTTAAGTTGCACTCGAACAACAAGCCAAACCAATGCGTCCTATTTTACTCATTGTACAGAATTGTCCCAAGATTGGTGGCTACCCTGTCAATCAGTTTTGTATTAGCTTCCAAATATGCTCTAAGGAGCAGATGAATAACTCCTGAATTTTGAAGCACAGAGGTAATGTCATACTGGCTCCAATGTTCATTGGCAGGTGGTTGTTGCAAAGAGAGATCGGGGCTGCTTTGTTCCTGCCAAGTTTCAATATTGTTGTCTTTCGTTCCTCAGCTGGCAGCTAGCAGAATTGACGATCTGATTCTCAGCAAGAGGCTGAACTACCCGGCAATCGGGAGAGGTCAAGGGCTTGATGTGGTCTTTCCTCGCTTGTGTGAGCCAAGGTTGCATAATTCCTGTAAATGCTGGAAATACGCCGAACTGACAGCATCTGTGAAGGGAGAGAGGGAGCAACAGAGTAAACATTTCAGCTCAAGTATCTTTCTGGAGTTCTCAAATAAGCTCCATCTGCTTTTATTTGTAGCTTTTTTGTAGCTGCTTTGATACAACTTGATTGGCCATTTCTCAGGGCAATTATAGTCAACCACTCTACTGTAGGTTTGGAACCACGTAGCTCAGCTGATTTCCTTCCCTAAAGGATATTAGTAGATAGTTTTCTAAGACAATTCAGTAGTTTAATCCTACAGACACAAGCTTTTTAATTCCAGGTATAGTTAACTAACTGAATATATTTTACCCTTTGGGATTTGAATTTCACATTATTAGTTCAATAATCAGTATGCTGTCATGTCTCGAAGAATAATATCATTGCTTGTGCTTTGTACACCTAGTAACTTTGCTGTTTGAGGAGTGAGCTGTTTGAAAGTGGGTTACATCATTTATCGTGGAGGAAGAACGAACCTGTTTCCGGAATGAACAGCCATCATTCACAGAACATCATTTTCAAAAAGCATTGGTTTGAACCCCTCTTGTTTTTTATAATGTCAGTAATGACATTCATCAACAGTTATAAATGGACTGTTCCCTGTTTTAAGAGCAATTGCCTCATACAGTTTTTCTAATCCTGTCCCAGAATAAATAGTAGCCCTGTTACCTACTCTTCTGAGTTACTAAAAAATATGGAGCATGGAGGAAAAAATATGGATTTGACAGTGTGCAATATTTTACAACTAAGGAGCTGCGGTTTATAAAGCCATAATACAGATGTGAGCCGATGGATACTGTCACAAGAAATTGCAGTGAGTGGATATGATATGTTTCACAGCTTCTTCTCCAACATTAAGTAAATAAAATAAAAAAGAATTGAAGAAAAATCTTAACCACTAAGGAGCATAAAATACCTTTGTTCCTTCTAGACTTCACTATTCAAACCTAATCTCAGCTATCCATGGTCCACTCTCTAACATTGAGGTCAATCATAATTCTGCTGCCCATCTCCTAATGTGCACCAGGTTCAATTCCGCCTATGCTTGGCTGCCAACCTTGGCTCCAGGTAAGTAAATTCTGGTTTTAAAATTATCTTTTCTTTTCAAATCTGACTGTAGCCACATTCTTCTATTTCTTTGTAATCTCTAATTCTCTGTGATATCTGCACTCCTCCAATTCTGCCTTCTTGAGGAATCCCAATTTTAATTATTTCACCAATGATGGCTGCCCTTAAGTGGCTTAGCAACTCTGTGACAAAGAACTACTGAACTGCCTCCCCAGACTTCACTCTTTCCGAAACACCTATTTTTTTCCTTGTGTTTATATATATATGTGTGTGTGTGTGTGTGTGTGTGTGTGTAAGAGGGGGTTTATGAGGAGATTAGAGTTTATCTAAGTAATTATATAATTTCCTACCTTTTAATCTAAGTCACAAAAACAGTGAAGTTAATGGAGGAGTAAAAGCCTGTTTCTGTAATGGTGATCACGTAACTTCTCATTTTTTGCAAAAATACATCTGTGCTGAATGACTCTGACTGTATGATTCAATGACATCCTTTATAAGCAAGGAAATCTGCTATGCTAACTAGGAACAAAAACAAAAGTTGCTGGAAAAGCTCAGCAGGTCTGGCAGCATCTGTGAAGATAAAAGTCAGAGTTAATGTTTCGGGTCCAGTGACCCTTCCCCAGTTCTTTTCCAGCTACTTCTGTTTTTGCTCCTGATTTACAGCATCCACAGTTCTTTCGGGTTTTATTTGATATGCTAACTAGGTTTGTCCTACATGTGACTCCAAACCCATAGCAATAGGATCGGTTCTTGCTTGAATCCTGTGACCGAGGAAGTCACTGAAAAGCCTGGCTCACCACCATCTCTTAGAGAGAATTAGAGAGAGACAATTAATACTATTCTTGCCCTCATAATAAACATTGTTTTCTCCTAACCTCCACTTCAGTCCACACTATCTAGCTTTCCTTTCCCTAAGTTCATGGAGCCGGTCTTTCTTGAATCACATTTCACATATTCGGAAAAATCAGCACAAAAGGTTTGCTGTATCAAAATAATGCATATAAAATAGGTTTCTAGGCATATTGCAGTTTATTCCATCACAATTTTGCTGAATTTCCAGGTTTTCTCGACAACTGGTAACTGAATGAAGACTTTTGAAACTCAGTTGTTGTAACATTTCTGTAACTCCTTTCGTGACATTGGAACATCCCAAAGATCACTAAATGTATTGAAGAACTTTCAGCATATAGGCAATGTTCCCTCAGTTTTTGTTTTTGCTGACCTAACCTCCAAAGTCCAGAAGCATAAGCTACGTGTTGGAATGCTTATTGGTGTGAGCGAGCCCTCTCAGCGTGCAGCTACGCAGCTTAGAAGGAACATTACATAAAGGTCAATCTTGTAGTATACACACCAGCCAATTTGTGCACAGCAAGGTCCCACGAACAGCAAAAAATAACAGATAATCTGTTTTAAGCAATGGTGGAGTAATGATGTGGGGAACTGCCCTGAAACTTGAAATGTGCCATGGGATCTTTTGCAATGACAGAAAAGGGCAGAGGAGGCCTTGTTGTGCATGCTTTTTCTAATAGCAGTATTTGAGAAGAGTAACCACCTTTTCTGATTTATAAGTGGAATTTAAAATCTCAGATAATGATCACTATGGTTTAATTTAGTTGAATAATTGTATATTGATTTGGTATTAAATTCCGTTTTGTCTTCTGAACAATGTTGCTTTCTTGTGAACACACTCTCCTGGTTTCCCCTTTTAGTGACTTGTAAAAGTTTTTTGACTTGAACACCAAAAAGCAGGACGTTCTTATTTTTTCTTTCATGTACACCCTGCTGACTTCATACAGTCCATGTAATTGTATTCTTGGAAACCAATAAATTATTTTTAAAATCCCTTGTGATTGATTATTTAAGCACATTTTTGAAACATTTGTGCACTATATGAAATTGGTGCTCGAGGTGAAGCAAGGGGAGAAAACACTTATTTTCCATTAGCCAAATAGTAAGAGTGCAGTCATGCATCCACTTTAATTATTTTGTTTATTTATAAAGCCACAGTGCCAGTAATGTAAGAAAATTGGTAGCTACAGTACATAAATTGAAAAAGTTGAATTGGTTGGATTTTTAATGAGGTCATCAACATAGCAAAGCAATGCAGATACATTTCCTGAAGTGCAATGCAAGTAGTGGTAGCTGTCATTTGTTGTAGAATGCTATTATTCTTTTACAGTCATTGCAGTAATTGACTGCAGATGGACAAGTCCACTTGTTGCAACCCTGTTTAATTGGCTCCTGTCTTTTGCCATCCTGTTGATCACGTCCATTGTCCAGCTGGAACCCTCTATTGAGTGAATGATGGCTTCTGGCCGACATCTGTCATGTTGGTGCACATAACATATGTTATCAGTTGTATTTCTTGATAAATCCTGTGTTAGTATCCAACAGATTATAGGGACATTGCGTAAATATCTAGGATGCTGTAGCAATTATGCTTTGGGGCTCACCTAGGGTGCTGAGCAAATGTATAAAATACATGTTACTAAATAGTGAACGAATTGCAAACTCAATTTTTTAATATTGGATGCTAATGACCACTTTTTTTCTGATCTATGACTCTCCTTGGTATATTTATATGTTTGTCTTTCGGACACCAGTTTATCACTTTCAATGACTTGAAAAAGTTACATTCCTTGATGTTGATGTGACTTGTACTAGAAGGTTCAAGCCAAAGAAAATGAAAAATCTTTCATCTTATTGTGGCTATATTTGGAATCATTTGACATTTCTTTAACGTGGCCCAGGTATTCCATTTGATTAGTCTTCAAGTTCGTAGTCTGATATAAAATCATTGCAATAGCTTGCCCAGAGTCTTAATCCTGAAACTTTGAGTTTTGTACTTTGGTTAGTGTACTATGTCTCCCTGTGTATTTCTGCAGTCTTCCAGATGGTGGATTGATGAACACATCAATGGGATACGGCCAATCTGAATGAAGAAACTGGTTTCTACTTTTTGCTATAGGATAACTGACCAGAGCGTACTTTAGAATAGAAACGTAGAAAATAGGAACAGGAGTAGGGCATTGAGCCCTTTGAATCTCCTCCACCATTCAGTATGATTATGGCTGATCATCTAACTCAGTAACCTGTTCCCGTGTTCTCCACAAACCCTTTGAACCCTTTGGCCCTAAGTACTATATCTAATTCCTTGAAAGCATTCAATGTTTGGGTCTCAACTGCTTTCTGTGGCAGAGAATTCCATAGATTCACCACTCTCTGGGTAAAGAAATTTCTTATCTCAGTCCTATCCATATCCTTTGACTGTAACCCCTTGTTCTGGAGTCCCCTGCCATCAGGAACGTTCCTCCTGCATTTACCCTGCCTAGCCTGTTAGAATTGAACTAAACGCTTCCTGAATAACTCTCATCAGGCAAAAGTCTACACAGTCGATTTGATTGTTTGAACAGTTTGAAAAAATTCATCACAGTTGCTTCAGCCTGCCCGCACTAGGCCCCCTCACTCTGTCCCCGGCCTGTCTGCACCGATACTGTTCACTTTGTCTACAGTTTGGTTGGAGGAGACTGAACTCCCCGCTACCCCCCAAAATCTAACTTGATAATATGCCTCAGCTTCCCGAGAACCACCTAAACTGTCAACTGAGTGGTGTGACCTGAGCACAGTCAGTCCCAGAATTCATCTCTCTTGCCATTGATTGTGTTTCAGTGACTGTTGTAGTGAGAACCTGCAATTAACAGTGTGAAGAATTTATTTAGGGTCAACAGTTGTCCACAACATGTTCAAGGTTGAGGAAGACAGATTGTGGCAGTCAGCTCGTGGCAGTCAGCTCAAATTCTAAGTGCTTGATTAAGGAGGAGATTTATTCTGTCTTGGAATGTGGGAATCATTGGCCAGGCCAGCATTTTGTGCTGTTGGAAAGGTGGTCATGAACCACCTTGGACTTCAGCAGTTTGTACGTATACCCATAGTGCTATTAGCAAGGGAGTTTTGGGATTTTCACTCAGTGAAGGGATGGCGATATAGTTTCAAGTCAGGATATTGTATGACTTGGAGGGGAACCTGGCGCTGGTGGTATTCACAAGCGTTTTTATTTTTCAGTGTGGCACAGATCACAGGTTGGAAGGTGTTGTTGAAAGAGGTTTAATGAGCTGGTGTGAATCTTTTGTGAAGTACACACTATTAGCATTGTCTTTGGTGTTGAAAGGGGTGGATTTGTTTAGGTGGTCGATGTTTTACCAATTGTGTGTGGACTGCTTGAATCGAGTTTTTGTTGGAGCTAGATGCATGGAGACAAGTGGGAACTATCCCAACACACTCCTGCCATGTGACTTGTAGACATAGGAGGTGAGTTATCCACCTCAGTATTCGTAGCTTTTGGACTAACTGTTCTAGCCACAGTGTTAATATACAAAGAAAATTACAGTACAGGAACAGGCCCTTCGGCCCTCCAAACCTGCACCGACCTGCTGCCCATCACAACTAAAACCCCCTACCCTTCCAGGGACCGTATCCCTCTATTCCCATCCTATTCATATATTTGTCAAGACACCCTTTAAAAGTCACTATAGTATCTGCTTCCACTACCTCCCCCGGCAGTGAGTTCCAGGCACCCACAACCCTCTGTGTAAAAAAAACTTGCCTCGTACATCACATTTAAACCTTTCCCCTCGTACCTTAAACCCGTGACCCCTGGTAACTGCTCTTCCACCCAGGGAAAAAGCTTCTGACTGTCTAGTCTGCCCATGCCCTTCATAATCTTGTAGACCACTTACAAGTTTGCCACTTAAAAGATAAAGTCTAAATATTGTCTAGATCTTGCTGGTTATTATGCAATTATCAGCGGACATACCCGCTTCTAACCCTATGATGGAGGGAAGGTCATTCTTGAAGCTTTATTGAACATTAAAGAAATTTGGACCTCGAGCTGTACCCTGAGGAGCTCCTGCAGTGATGTTGTGGGACAGATGATTGGCCTCCAACAATGGCAAGAATCTTCCCTTGTGTTAGGTATGACATCAGCCAATAAGTGAAGAATT